AGTCTTGACGCACTGTTTTAAATGTACATGTTGAAGGGTTCAACGCTTAGCAAGGTTTCCGCATTCGGCGGTATCACATTGAGGTTCGTCCATCGGAACCAGCTCATGGACGGAGAAACTGTCATGTTTGGCTCACCTCAGACATGGAAACAGCAGAGATGCACGGTGCCAGGTAGAGACCTCGAATTGGGTGCCCAGGTCACCTTTGAGGCATCCGCCATGAAGAACGGGATCTCACGATATGCCATGTTTGGGGTGTATTCAGCGTATTATTTATATGTATTCCAGATTCACCTGAGGCATTCGGAGCTTGAGAAACCTTGTGCTTGATATGATATAAATTGCAAAGCCTTGAGGGTTTGTGCATGTTTGTTCAATGTTGCTGAGCAACGCCCTGCGTAGGCTCGTTTCAACCCTCAGCGGGTGCAGCTTAGATGCAAAGTTATAAAAAATGATGGGTCATGATGGGTCAACAACTGCCATTGTCATCATGGACAGAGCACGTCACAGTGCCTTTCCCACATCCACCGTTTTGTTTCCAGATCTTTGCACCAAGGAAATGGGAGTGCACCAAGTGTTCGGGTGCATATGGGCCCCCACCCGATCAAAGTCGGCAAGGCAAGAAGGGATGGAACGGGTTTTTGCTGAAGATCAGGAATTGGCTACAGTAACTATAGTGCGCTGACTCGTACTCACTCACTATCCAACATCATCCATCACTATCCCCATTTGTTGATTTTGTTGCAGGTGGAGGTGGTGGCATGGATGTTGCCAACAATTTGTTTGTGGGCGGCCTCCCTTTGGATGCTTTCCTCAATGTGCAAGCCATGTGGCATCCGGATGCATCCGGCCGAACGCATTGGACCCCGGAGAAAGTGTCGCACAAACCAAGGACATCACCGAAGAGTTGCTGTACTCCGTCTTCGGGCAATATGGGATTGTCAAGCAGTTGAAGGTCAAAACGGGCCATTCATGGGATTTAGACTGATTTAGATGAAGGTTTTCAGATCCATTTAGCATGACTTAGCAGCAGTGCAGTGTTGAGGCCGCTTGCCCATTCAAGCATTTGCTGCAGGTGCTGCCTGATAATGGAAAAGGTGACCGAGCGGCGCTTGTGAGGAGCGGGAGTTACAACGTGGGTTGCATGCAAATGATGAAGAGTCCAAGAATGAACGATAATGAACGTATATAAATACGATTAAATTAAATACCATGAAATACAATGTTATTTGGGCGGGATCAAAACGTGCAAGTACCATTAAAATCAATGAATTAAATACCTGAGTGTTTTGTTTGCCCAGCGAAAGGATGGCAGATCCAAGTGTGGCCCAGTGGCTGGTGAGCAACATGAACGGCATGATCCCACAAGGTCAAGGGTCTGGAGCCAGGGTGATTCCGAACATGGGGTGAACGTGGGTGAACATGGATGAACAGTGGCATGTGGTAGCCAAGTTGGGCCTTGTGATGCCTCCCCTGCATCAGGCATGAGCGCACCAGTGATGGTGATGTTCTCAAAGAGCCAGCCTGTCTGGCACCCAAGCCTTCACTCAGAGACAAGCTGAGACAAGCTAGGCGTGCTAAGCGTCCATTTTGTTCCGAGGGCAGGGGCGGCTACGGGAGCTACGGGTCGCGGGCTTATGCTGCCAGCATTCCAATGTGCATGTTATGATGCAGATACACTACATACTTAGAATGCTCATGTGTATATATATATATATATGTATTTCAAGTTATCATGAGGTAACCTTGGCCTCCGACATCCTTTCTACCTGCCCAGGCCACAACACGGAGGTTGCGGAGATATGAGATATAATCCATATGGCTCTTACCCCAGATTCTGCTATTACAGCCTCCAAAAACATGTCTTGAAATGACACGCCTAGGTCAAATGCAACCCCAGATGCAAATGCAGCCGCAAATGCAGATGCAGATGCAGCCCCAGATGCAGATGCAGATGCAGCCGCAAATGCAAATGCAGATGCAGCCCCAGATGCAAATGCAGCCTCAGATGCAGATGCAGCCGCAAATGCAAATGCAGCCGCAGATGCAGATGCAACCCCAAATGCAGATGCAGCCGCAGATGCAGATGCAACCCCACATGCAACTGCAACCGCAGATGCAGATGCAACCCCAGATGCAGATGCAACCCCAGATGCAGATGCAACCGCAGATGCAGATGCAACCCCAAATGCAGATGCAGCCGCAGATGCAGATGCAACCCCAAATGCAAATGCAGCCTCATATGCAGATGCAGTCCCAGATGCAAATGCAGCCTCAAATGCAAATGCAAGGCCAATTTCAACAGATGGGCCAACAGCAGTTCCAGCAGCAAATGCCCTTCCAACAGCAGTGTGACCCACAGATGCAGTGGCAGCAGCAGCAGCAGCAAATGATGCAAACTCAGCAGCAGCCGATGGCCCAAGCGCTTCAGCAGCCTCAGCACCAAATGGCACAGGAGCCCCAAATGCAGCAGGCGAATGCTTCACTGGCCTTACCAGCACCGCAAGCGCAAGATGGCCAACAGATGCAATCTGCGCAGCAACACGGGCTGCAACAGACAAGTGAAGCAGCGGCAACAGACAGAGCAACAACTCATGGCATACATGCTGCCAGTGCCACCTTGCCGCAGGCGGATGTGGCACAAATGCCAGGCCAGTTGCAAAATGGCACAGCCGCTCAGCCTGCCCAGGCACAACAGGCACCAGAAGCAGCTCCCCAAGCACAAGAGGTTGTGCAGGCAGGACAGCCACCATGTGTTAATGGGGAAGTGTTTGGAACTTCACCGAGCCAAGGGGCCATAGGCACGTCTCTGGGCGACCAGAAGCTTCCACCAGAAGATGTAGCGCCACCTATTCAGGCGCAGTGCTGAGGTATGTGGGTCCTATTGAACTATTGGCAAGCCTGGGCATTTATTCTATCATATTCATTCATATTCTATCTATTCACTGGGGCTAACGAGATCTAACAACAGTGGTGAATTTACCCACCGGACTTCTACGCAGGCATCGGCTTGAAGATCACTGAGTTGCCACGCACCAGTTGCCAAGAAGCAGCATGCCGTCCAGTAATTTATAGCGGGTTGTACTGCAAGCATCGTATCACCATTTAGTTTCGTTTAACCAGCCCAAGTATGACATGCCCTTCAGTTTTTTCTGCTAGTTCGGCGTGCTGCACCGTTACTTGTACAAAGCAAGAGGCGGCTTGCATAGAGATAAAGAAGGCTGAAAAGGGTGGCGTGCATTGATTTTTAAGAAACTTTTATCCTGACTGTTTTTCTTTGGCTTTGTCCTGCTAAATTAGCACATTTCTACACGTTACACGTTGCTGCAGCCGATGTCACGGCCATCCATAGGCTTCCACACAGGCTTCCAATCATGCTTCCGCATGTCTCCGCAATTTTAGGGCCCCAGCCAAAGCCGATCTTGGCAAAGCGACTGCTGGTGGAGGTGCTTGCTGAATGTTTCTAAAGATTCTTGGGTAATTCGCAGGGGCTCTTGCCAATCACCTGTCTCCCTGATGACTTAGGAGTACATAGATAGGTAATAGGTGTATAATGATTATGATGATGATTAATGAATATGAGTGATGTATTTATATGTCTATATATTGTTTGCATATTTAAATTTATGTATATATAATGTGCATGCATGCATACATGCATACATACATTGAATACATACATACATACATACATACATACATACATTGAATACATACATACATACATGCATGCATACATACATACATAAATACATGCATATACATACATACATACACTACATACACTACATACACTACATACACTACATACACTGCATACACTGCATACACTACATTACATACCTACATACCTACATACATACATACCTACATACCTACCTACCTGCCTCCCTGCCTCCCTGCCTCCCTGCCTACCTGCCTACCTACCCTACCTGCCTACCTACCTACCTCCCTGCCCTACCCTACCTTCCCTACCCTACCTACCCTACCTACCCTACCTACCCTACCTACCCTACCTCCCCTACCTACCCTACCTGCCATGCCTGCCATACCTGCCATACCTGCCATACCTTCCATACCTGCCATACCTGCCATACCTGCCATACCTGCCATACCTCCCATACCTGCCATACCTGCCATACCTGCCATACCTGCCATACCTGCCATACCTACCATACCTACCATACCTACCATACATACCATACATACCATACATACCATACATACCCTACATACCCTACATGCCCTACATACCCTACATACCGTACATACCGTACCTAACGTACCTAACCTACCTAACCTACCTAACGTACCTAACCTACCCAACCTACCTAACCTACCTAACCTACCTAACCTACCTAACATGCCTAACATACCTACATACCTTGCATACGTTCCATACCTTACATACCTTACATAACTTACATTACCTACATTACCTACATTGCCTACTTTACCTACATTACCTACATTACCTACATTGCATACATTACATGCATTACTACATACATTACATATATGACATACATTACATACATTACATACATTGCATGCATTACATACGTTTCATACATTCATACATTCATACATTACATACATTCAAACAGACAGACAGACATACAGACATACACACATACACATACACACATACAAACATACAGACATACAGACATACAGACATACAGACATACATACCTACTGACATACACACGCAGACACATGCAAACACACACATACACAGACACAGACACACGCATACACACATATACAATCATATACACATACATACACACACACACATACCTACGTACCTACCTACCTGCCTACCTACCTGCGTACATACATACCTACCTACCTACTTACCTACGTACATACATTACATTCCATTGCATTGCATTCCATTACATACATACATACATACATATTGTAGATTAGTTTCGAGTTTGTATTGGATGTTGAAGTAAAGTGCCTTCTGGCATGAAGGCCATTGGAGTATCAGTATGACTCGAGCTACTTCTGACCACAGTGTGAGAGTTTTGCCCTCAGCTGATGTTGTTTGTTTTTTCTTCGATCTATTTAGTATGAATTTGCCTCACAAAGAGCAAACATGCGGAAACTCCCAGTCTGCTGCGCACCTCAACATCCTTCCAGTGGCTATGCAGCCACAGGCCAGGAAAATCCAGTCCACCACATGCAAAACTGTCCGGCTGTATCACACCTCCAATTTTGCGGCAATGCCTGCAGGGGTGTCCGCGCGACATGCGATTCCGTGCATGAACCACGTTTATCCACGTGATTTCTTCGACAGGTGCGCCCTGCACGCCGAAATGCGGTGCTTGGAGACATTACAAATACTGGGCCAATCGGCCTTGGTGCCAGCCTGGCCCTTGGAGACTGCCACGGCTTCACTTTGCTCCTGTGGACTTCCAGTGGTTTTTTGAAGCTGAGGTGGGAAAGTGTTAGGTTCCGAGAAGTCAAGCCTTCCGAGTTTCGCCACAGTCTTAGACCTCAACTGGTTATAGCTGCCCATAGCTGCCCATAGCTGGCCATAGCTGCCCATAGCTGATCCAGCTGGAGCTAAGTATAGCTGAGTGGTCTGTAGTGGCATGACCAGGCTCCTATGCCCAGCTTAAAGACCACAAGTGTTGAAGACTTAGCGCAGGCTACTGTAAGTTGTTTTGCCTTGTGGATCGAAAACAATTCCCACCAAGATTCGGAGATCTATGGGGATTTTCTCAGCCATACCGTACCTACCAAGGTACACACCTACCTGTATACCCACATACCTACCTAATCCTAATCCTACCTATATAATCCTATATATCTACATACATACCTGCTCGGCTCTGCCCACGGGTGACGCGTGGCCCATTTTCACCTCTCACACATCTGCGTTTAGCGCCCAGGTGAGCGGGATTAACTCATATGCTCATATGCTCATATATACATACCTGCACACGCACCTACCTATTTACATACCTGCATACGCACCTACGCTGGATACATCTACCTACATACCTACGCAATGCTTACGCATGCATCGCATGTGACATTCTGAGTGTGACTATCAGTCATAGTCATATGTATATATATATATGTATATATGCATGTATATACGTATGTGTGTGTATGTATATATAGATTTAAAATGTGTGTGTGTGTCTGTGTAATTGTACATACATACATACGCACAGACATACATACGTACATACAGACATACATACAGACAGACATACATACGTACAGACAGACATACGTACATACAGACATACATACATACATGCAGACATACATACGTACAGACATACATACATACATACAGACAGACATACATACGTACAGACATACATACATACATACAGACATACGGACATACAGACATACAGACATACATACAAACAGACAGACAGACATACAGACAGACATACAGACAGACAGAGACATACAGACAGACGGACATACAGACAGACATACATACAGACAGACATACATACGGACATACAGACATACAGACAGACATACATACAGACAGACAGAAATACATACATACATACATACATAATTACATAAATACATACATACATACATCCATACATGCAGACATGCAGACATGCAGACATGCAGACATGCAAACATGCAGACATGCAGACATGCAGACATGCAGACATGCAGACATGCAGACATGCAGACATGCAGACATGCAGACATACAGACATACAGACAGACAGACATACAGACAGACATACAGACAGACATACAGACAGACAGACATACAGACAGACAGACATACAGACAGACAGACATACAGACATACATACGGACATACATACATACAGACAGACAGGCATAGAGACAGACAGACATACAGACAGACAGACATACAGACATACATACGGACAGACAGACATACAGATAGACAGACATACAGACATACAGACAGAGATACATACATCAGACAGACAGACATACAGACAGACAGACATACAGACAGACAGACATACAGACGGACAGACATATAGACAGACAGACATACATGCAGACATACAGACATACAGACATACAGATATACATACAAACAGACAGACAGACATACAGACAGACATACAGACAGACAGACATACAGACAGACAGACATACAGACAGACGGACATACAGACAGACATACATACATACAGACATACAGACAGACAGACATACGGACAGACATACAGACATACAGACATACAGACATACATACATACATGCAGACAGACATACATACAGACATACATACAGACAGACATACAGACAGACATACAGACAGACAGACATACAGACAGACATACAGACATACATACATACATAATCATACATACATACACGCACGGACGCACGCACGCATGTTTATTTATATATATATATACCAGGGTTCTGACCTATATATGCATGGCAGAGGGGGCAACACCAAGGTGATGGGAACAGGGACCACCTCTGCAGCTGGCAGGTCTGGGATTGACCTGGGATGACCTTGGAATGTCAAGGTCTACAAGGGGTTGAGCTCAGTCAAATCTGCCAAAGTTATCTAAGTTTGATAAATTTAATCTGGAGGTGCTTCCGTGGCAAAGAAGATGGCCAATTGGGTTTGTTTAGTCTGGGCAGTGCCCCGCAGGTCTTCGGCTCGGTCATATTGACAAGATGCTTCAATAGGTTTCAATATGTAGGCTGTTCCGGTGGTGAATATTTACCCTTTGACTGAGGCACATGCACGAGAGCAGCATGCAAGATTTATCCGACCAGCCTCGGGTGATTTTATGGACCGCCACCTTCATGTTGCATCATGTTTCTGTTGCAGTTGCCAAATGGGTATGGATCAATACCTATTAATACCATTTTTAGGGGAATGACCATCCATAAATCCCAGCTATTTTGATGTGAACTACAGGGGTACTATTGGTTTTGACACACTGCCAAATAGCTGTTTGATGCCACATTTGCACGCTTGAACCAGCTTAGATTCGCCAGATGTGGCTTGCTAGGACGTCGCGATGGAAGAAGAGCCTTCGGAGGCCAACGGAGTCCAATGGACATCCAATGGACATCCAATTTACCCTTTGGTTATGTCAAAATAGCTATTGAAAATGGCCATAGAAATAGTGGATTTTCCCATTAATGGCATGGTGATTTTCCATAGTTATGTTAGTTTACCAGAGGGTATTGTTTTCAGTCACTTCGATCGGGGAATTCTTCCAGATGCCCCGCACCATTGTTTTTCGCTGCAGGATCCCCAGCACGTTGCAGAGTACACCAAGGACATCTACGCGCATATGTTCGCGATCGAGGGGTCCTTTCAGCCCAGGCCTTCTCTAGATCTAGCATCTCAGATGTCATGTAGTTCCAGAACGTGTGGGCAAAAATTTTCAAGTACTGTCAACGTCTATCATATTGCCCTTCAATCACTAATCACGAAAGGTAGCGTCAGCTACCTGAGTTCTCCGTGCTTCAGCACAAGCTTAGGGGGTATTGGGGGGCCAGCCCGTGCAATTCATGGAATTCTCGCCGTTATGTATTGGATATCAATTATAAGGGGGGCCCCCCCCGGTCATGGGTTCAATTCCCACGGGTGACGCGGTCACGGGCCCCCACATTAGAGGCACACTTTCCATGAGGGAGATGTCCCTGTAGTCCAGCATAATTGGTATGCTTCAGCCTCAATAACAGTTGCTGCAAGGGGTCTTAAAAAGGGGTTTTAAATAAACCCCTTTTCGTGCATCATTTCACGCAGCACAAGACACAGTGTCATGCAGTCATGCTCTGGATAAAATCATCTTAGACTGCGCAAAAACGTTTTTGGTGTATCATCTTAGGGGCGCAGCATTTTGACACCACTCCTCTCCCACTACACTACCTTTCGTCCGCCTCCGCCTGCTCTCAAGTATCTATAATATATTATAATATGGTATTAATACGGCACTATATAGTATGATATAGGACTATATAGTATGATATAATATTATGGTATTATTTTCAATTGAGTTTGTTTATGCATGGTTCCTTGCTGCCTGGTTGTGCAGGTTGCTTTATGTTGTGTTGGCATCAGGGTTCGCATGCCAAAACACAAGTCAGGGGCATTGCCGGGCATCGTGGTTTCACAACAGGCCTCATTACTTGACAGAGCAGCGTGAGATCAACGCCAAGATGAGGGCGATTCTGGTTGACTGGCTTGTTGAGGCAAGGTGGCTGCAGGATGCTGCAGGCTGAGTTGTTGATCAATTCTGGACGTCCCTCGACGCCCAGGTCCACATGAAGCATCGTCTGAGACGGGAGACCCTGTTCATGGCGGTGAGCCTTATTGACCGATATTTGTCTGTCAGGCACGTCACGCTGCATGTGTGGTGACAATTGAAGCGACATGTGACCTGTCAATTTACAGTACTCATTTTTTCCCACGGTTTCAAAAGACGTTGTGCCTCCAATACCAGCGTGTTGAAGTTAAGCCACGATATCCCGGATACGCCTGTGGACTAGGCAAGTTGCTCGCAAGCGCCTTCAGCTTTGTGGAGTTGCAGCTATGTTCATTGCAGCGAAATTCGAGGCCGGATGACTTCTGATGTCATGGGGAACACAGATAAAACATGACAAGACCATATAAAAACCAGAGGTACCAAGAGTGTCCAAAAGCCAAGAGTTTAGTTGCTAGAGCATTGCAGAATATGTTGGAGTTGATTCTGCAATGCACAAATCCCGCAGAGATGGGCTGCAGATCGCAAAGAAAGTGCGTTCAAAGCGCTGGCCAGGAGATTTACCCACCTGAGGTAAAGGATTTTGTGTATATCACTGACAACGCGTACACCAAAGACGATATCTTGAACATGGAGGCCTTCGATTTTTCGGGTGTGTTCTTCTAATGTACACATTTCATTGCTTTGTTACTACAATTCCAAGATGCCCCCTTGATTTTTTCATGAGTCCTTTCTCCTTTTGTTTCAACGTCTGGCCAGGTATCAATGCTTAGAACTCTCGACTTTGCGCTGTGCGGCTCCACACCCAGTCTTGGAAAGGTTGCTTTCGCACAACTGACTAGTGACTAATAAGCTTTATGGCCAGTGGTTCCTCATGCCCTTGGACTGCTGTGGTTGAGGCCCAACTGCTGCACACTTCCTGGATCGTTTCCATCGTGCCAACGTGTGCTCAGAGGACATCTATGGCCATAGTCTATGGCAGTCAACCTGTGAGGGCCGCTTAGAACCCAGTAGTAGCTGTCGCAACTCAGATTTTGTGAGGAGCAATTGCACCTCATGCACTACTTGGCCGAACTTGCTCTCCTTGAAGTGCAGATGCTGCAATACACGAGCTGAGCTCAGTGGGACAGAGAGTTCCTTCCAGATCTTCCAGGATGGGATGCCAAGACAGCACGAGACATAGCCGACACAGTGATCGCAGTGATTGATCTCTCAGATCTCACAAGCCTCAGGCCTTCGCACATTGCGGCAGCTGCTGCTCTCTTGAGTGGTCTCCCCATTGATTTGACAGAAAGCCAAGATGCCGGTGGGAAATTCATAGCTGTCATAGCTTCGGGATTCGTTCGAGATATGGGGGCGAATGACACTTGAAAGATTTGTGCGAGGCAACAAGCTCTTGAAATTCCCTACGTGGCCGCCGCATGGGGCCCCGGATCGGAAGGTCGCACAAATGAAGAGTTAAAAATTGAGCATGAGCATGAAAGCCTTGGCCCGAGGTGCATGGCGCAGTTCAGCAAACACTCGGAGGGTGAAATTAAGGCTGACGGTTGATTCAGTGGGCACGTTGGCAAGATGAAAAAGCTTTGTGGAGTCATGCTTTCAAGTTCCGTCTGCAAATGTCTGCAATCATGCCAACACATGCAATAGATCTTGAGTGGGCCTTCAGAGCGCCCAGTCTTTGCATTTCAGCGGCCTTGTTGGTTGTCGTTGCCGTACTGACGAGGCATGTGCTCGCGAATTGTGCGGGATCCTCGAGTCTATTGACAGGAGGGGCTGATGCTGCTGAGCTGCTGCGCAAATGAATTTCAGGACTGCGTCACATGTGCCAGGAGCTCCTTGCAGGCAATCCGCAAGAAGTATTCCCAGGAACGTTTCAAGAGGGTGGCCAGAGCCTCAGTGCTTTTCCATGCTTTTCCAATGTATTCTCCATGCAAGTCATGTTGCTGATGTTGAAGGCCAAACTCTCTTTCGGGTCCAGTTGATCCTCAAAAAGTTCAAATGAATTTGAGTCCTGCGCCAATTGGCAAATTTGTGGCCTTTGAAGCCATACTGAGCACTGTGTCATTGAACGGCAAAGCCGCTTGCTGCATGAGAGCGCCTAGAGACAATACACTGGGCGTTGAGATTGAATAATCAAACCTCCCAAACCTGAACAGTACAAAAAGGTTCAGGTTCTCAAAAAGCCCCTAATTAAATTCGCATCCATAGATGGCCAGCGCAGCGTCCTGAAGAGCAGCACTTGCTGCTGCAAGACTCAAGGCATTGTTCACAAATGTAAGCCACTCTGACATAATGACATATATAATTACAATTAATTACATATAATTACAGACTCACAACGTCTCAGAACACACACACACACAACAAACATCAACAAACATAAGGAATTATTGTGTAAGATCAGCATCAAGCTGATACAGATTTGATGCATTGCCTTTGGCAAACTGCGTGGGCTGCAAGTGAGCTTGAAACCTCCTGGTGTTTGCGCACCTTTCGCACTGTTCGATTGCAAGGGAGATTCGTTTTCAGATCCATCACCGTCACCCTCATTACAAGTGCGCAAGCCACGGAAGGTCTCGGCATAAAATTATGGAATTGGTTTTGGCATGTTTTAGCGATTAGCATGGTGACAGGCGTCAGGCTTTGTGAGCGCTGATTGGCTGACACTTCCCTCCTGCCATTTGCTTTCAGCAAGACCTGGACAAAACAGGAAAAGATGGGAAGTCGCAAACTACGCATGTTTGAAGTTTGAAGATTGTAGAAGATGGGTGAAGCATTCCAAGTAGCAGTAGCACCCTCATGTTTGTACCATTACTGCTTATGCAGATGCAGTTCTGATGTTGACATGTTTCGGCTCAGATTTTGCAATCTTTGGGGTTTCGACAGACTGGTTTAAGAGTCGAGTTTGTACTGACGCGTGGATACATTGAGCTTGTTCTGTCCTACACTTACATACACTTACCGCATCGGGGCCATCTTCGGGTCTTTGTTTTGTGGACAAAAGTTGGAACTCATTTCCTAGTTGAACAGTTGTTCATGAAGTAATATGCCATGTGCTGCTTGTGGCGAGGCGAGGCATTTTTTCCTGGTCTCCTGGTCTCCTAGTCACTGGTTAAGATCCATTTTGCGTCAGGACCCAACTGCAACGGAATGGAAATGGGATCCACTGAGGCCCTCCAGTATGATGACAGCTGAAAGTTCCTTGATGTTTCCTCCTGAAAGCTGACACTTTCCATGATGATCATGATGTGACTCAAGGTGGGAGCTCGATCCACCCTGCACAGAGGCAGTTTCTCTGCAAGGCCAGGTACCTTGTTCAGACGATAGATGCTGGACACATGACAGGCTGAATGGAGATACTTGGCTGATACGCCTGGTGCACCGGAAGTGATGGCTGCACAGCAGCCTGCTGCTCAAGAATTTTGTCCCAACGTGCTCCAAATTAAAGGACTGCTCAATGCTGGTACCAAGGTGCGCCTACATGAACAAGCTATGCCGGGGATGCTACAACTTGAGGCTTCCTATCATGGCGAAAGTTCGTACCAGGCAGGAACAGCAAAAGGCAAAAGGAATGGGATGATGCCTATGAGCTGCACAGGATAAGAGCCAAAGGAGGACTTGAGGAGCTTCAACCGTCCTTGAAGATGCGCAAGGCTTTTGTGGGATTTCCGTGGGCTCTGTGTTTGACATGCGTTGAAAACAAATGTAGAAATGCTGTCATCGAACATTGCTGATGAGTTTGTAGCTGGCAGGAATATGAAGCTGCGCATCAGACAGATTTGCTGAAGAATCGTGGGGCCTGACTTTCGGGGGCCGTGTTTTCATGTGCATGTAGCAAATTGGAGGTGGCTGATAACCTCACACGTGATGTGCCTACCTCGTTGAACATTCTGGATGCTGAGCTATCTCAAGCCGGGAAGACGGCCAATTAGATCTAATTAGCAGTTCACAGTAGTTTGTAAAGCTTTCAGCCTACACATGTTGTCTCTTAAAAGGCCAAGATCAGTGGCTTGCGTGGTGCTCAGTGCATTCCTTTCCAGCCATGTGTTGATCCATTACAGACTATTAAAGAGGGATGGCAAGCACAAAAAAAAAAGTGACCTCTGAGATCCTCAGAGCAGCTGTGACTGTGACCATAGTAATTATATGTAATTATAATTATAATTATATTATATATATATTATATATATTATATATTATATTTATATATATATAATCTAAATGAATCTCAGAGCATCAGCTGAGATCACGGCTCTAAAAGCATTGTACTAAGGCACAGCGCCGAGCATTTAAACGGACAACTCTGCAGGCTACATCACCATCATTGTAAAGAATTGGTGCCAACATCAGGGCAAATTGAGGAAAAAAACGTGGCCCACACGTTCTTATTTTATTTGCTGGGAGGCTCGTTGAAAAGGATGCCGAAAAGGGGCGGTGGACTGTCGAATTTGCTTGGGCCTTAACTTGCGGCCGATGTAGACCTTCCAAGGCTAAATTGAGCAAGTATTTGACTGAGGTCGATGGCGAAAGAAAGGCAATCAAAGAAGCGAATCTAAGCGCATCGGAGGCAACTTCAAAGCGTTTGCAAGAGAATGCGACAAAACAAAACATACATCATATAGCTCATACATAACAAAACAAATGCAAAACACTCTCAGCAGCTGATGAATACTTCCAGAAAATCCCAACAAGAAAAGTGGGATGGAGTATGTTTCGAAATGTTTCTATTTTTTGTGCGGTTGACCTGGGTGTCTGGACAGGAGATTGACATGGAGTGGGAAGCCGCGCGGATACAGCGGCCTTTGCTCGGCTTATTTCATCCTGTCTCGTTTCAGCGGAGCCAATGCCAGGTATGCCTCCAAGAACCGGACAGCTGCCCAAACTGATGGCAAACCTGTGGCACGGCCATTGGGGTCGGAACCCTAAAAATACTGTGGAAGGTCAAGTTATCCCCAAATGTGGATGTAGCCAAGGACCAATACAGCCTGGCCAAAGGTGAAAGGCATCCATCCAGGCGCTTGAAAGGGAGTTTGCTGAGTTTGCTGGATTTTTGTTCAATGTTTCTCATCTTTGCCAGGCCCTCACTGATACCAGAAATGCTTGCCACAGTTTCTATGATCTCCTCACCACCGAATCTTGAAGGTGCCGTGGTTCGCCTGCAAAATCTGAAGACGAAGGCAAGCATTGTTTTATCTTCGCAGTTGCGCCAAGTGTTAGCTGAAACAGGATATACCAGTTGAAAGCCAGTTCAGTTGGAAGTTGTGCAAAATGTGGCTTTGACATGCCTTGACCAGGAGCTGAATGGAAGGAAAGGTCGGTCACAGACTCAGCATGACTTCGTTTCTCAGCGACGTCATCTAGGCCACATGGCATCACACAGCCTTGCCCAGGTGCATCAGCTTTGACAACGAGGCAACGCAGCGCAAGACGTACGCGGATTCCTTCGGTACAGTGCCAGCTGGAGATACCATAGAGTCATAGAGATATCTAATATTATCTAATGATATTTGTTCAGATTGTGCAGGCCGGCAGGTGGAAGATTGATTTGGGAGATGAGTACAAGCTCCCCACTCAGTTTCGTCACATACACATCGGCAGAAGAGTTTTGAAGAAGGCGGCCTGGTGAGTGGAGTCAATTGAGGAGGTTTGTTTGCCCAGGTCACTGAAGACTGAAAATTTGGTGCCAGTCTTACCCTCCCTCCTCGCAAAATTCAGAACATAAGAAGAGCACACCAGTAAAATATGAATCAAAGCTGGAAGAGAGCAAACCCAGGTGCCAGCTCCAGATGAGAAGCCACCCACGCGACAAAGTGCTCTGCAAGAGCCGACAACTGAGTGGAGCGGAGATTGCTGCAAGCTACATGACAATGGCCTTGGATTCCAGACACTGTTTTGACATCTACGCTGTCTACACTGTCTTTGTTTTTGGATACCACTAGGAAGAACGCAGCAGCTGCAGACAGCGAAAGGCCACTGTGATTCTGGTAGGATGTAACGGCCCTTGCGAGTACCACTTTACCGACTATACGTGTTTGCGCCTTCAGCTAGACTGGAGGCGAGAAGCCCTTAACGCGCGGGAAAGGCACGCTGAGGATTACGGTAAGAGCCTTACTGGTTTGTGGTTCAAAGGCTCTTTCAAACGGCTAAGAAATGATAGAAATGACTCAGCAAGGTTGGGACGGTTGACATTGGCGCTGGGTAATGGCCACCCAATCTACAGAGGAGCCAGGACATGACCATGGAAAAAGAGGAATTGAACACCATTTGAACGCCAAATGTGGAAATCACTTCACATGAATTCAAATTAAGAAGGGAGGGCCTAATTATTTTAGTATGTTTTTTTGATGAGGTTTAGGATTTTTTTTTGGATGCCTGCTTCTCTGCTGTTCCTGCTTTTCCTGCTTTTCCTGCTTTTCCTGCTTCTCTGCTTTTCTGCTTTCCTGCTTTTCCTGCTTCTCTGCTTTTCTGCTTTTTTGCTTTTCTGCTTTTCCTGTTTCTTTGCTTCTCTGCTTTTTCTGCTTTTCTGCTTTTCCTGCTTCTTTGCTTTTCTGTTTCTCTGCTTTTCTGCTGTTTTGCTTTTCTGCTTTTCCTGTTTCTTTGCTTCTCTGCTTTTTTACTTTTCTTCTTTTTTGCTTTGCCTGCTTCTCCGCTTTTCTGCTTCTCTGCTTTTCTTGCTTTTCTCTTTTCTGCTTCTCTGCTCTTCTCTGCTTTTTGCTTTTCCAGCGTCTTTGCCTTTCATGCTTGTCTGTCTCTGTGCCTTTCTACTTCTATTTTTCTATGCCATCATGCGTTTTTGCTTCTCTGCTTCTTCCTACTCCTTTGCTGCTCTGCTTCCTTTCTTTACTGTCTCTTTGCTTTTATGTTTCTTTCCTTTTATTCTCCAAACCCCCCTCCCGCTTTTTTATATTTAAACCCAAGCTCGTAAATACATTAGTTGGGGTTGGCATGATGATGTGGTGAACATGATGGTGTGACTGCTGACCATGACCATCGCCGCAACTTGCATTTTTGCGAACTAACCTTCTCTTGAAAGCTTGGGGGGTGACATGATGATGTACTGAAGGTGGCCATGCCAAAATGTATCAAAACCCTTGCGGTTGGCATGATGATGTGGTGAACATGCTCACATGTAGAAAATCCCATGCACATGTAGCTAATCCCATGCAAAATGGAAGGTGAACATGCCAAAATGCAGCCAATCCCACGCAAAATGGAAGGTGGACACGCCCACATGTAGGAAATCCCATGCAAAATGGAAGGTGAACATGCCCAAATGTGGCCAATCCCATGCAAAATGGAAGGTGAACACGCCCACATGTTTTTTTTTGCCAAAACCTCCAGCTTGGTCAACGCTAAAGGTCGTAGGCACTAACTAGCTTTGAATTAAAAGATATACACTCCTAAGGCCACGCTCACTTGTGAAAGTATAGAGAACAAGTTTCCAATTATTGCTAAGAGCCTTCACATTGATGATATTTCACATTGAGAGTAGTTCACACTGAAAGTGTCTCACACTGGAGAGCTTCACATTGAGAATAGTTCACACTGAGAGTCATTCACACTGAGTTTGAGCTGTGTAGTCTTCAACCGTTTCCTTTGTGAAAAGGGGGCTGGTAAAGATGGGCTTGTTCGATGATTCGTTCCCGTATCTCTCTGTTATATCTGTCGAATGGGATTTGGGGTGCCGATGGGTCTGTGTTTCTTATCACTTCCTATGCTTTTTGCATATTGTTACTGGTCCAAAACTGTCTGGGTCTTCCGACTCTTCGCATTTCAGTTTCTCTCGGGAGAGCGGATGTTGTTGAAAAAGTTGCTTGGTGAAGAGGGTGGTTTCTGTCTCTCCTGAGGATGTGTCCGAGTAATTTGAGTTTTCTTTCCTCCAAAATTTCGGTCAGAGGTTTGATTTTTCGATCGAAACCTGTAGTCGGCGCGTTAAGGGTTTCATTTGCCCTTCGGTATACGTATTCATTGGTGTTGTGGCGTTGTATGTATGTTGTGTGTAATTTCAGAATCTTTCGTAAGCCCTTGAGCTGGAACGTGTTAAGAAGACATCCAGCTGACTCAGTTGGTTCCAAGGTTTCTAGGCCGTAGAGAACTTTGCTAGTAATTACTGCATTGAAAACGCGCAGTTTCCAAGATCTGTTGCATTGCGCTTTTCCCCAGAAAATGTCCAATTTTTTCAAAATGGCCATCGTAGCTGAGATTCGTCGTCTTATTTCATGTTTGGGATTGACCGTGCGAGTGGTAGAAGCTCCTAAGTAAGTAGATTCATCGGTCGACTTCATGGGATCCCCATTTTGGAAAGCGATAGAACCGCGACAGTTGAAAGCAATGTAGCAACATTTTGACTTGTTTAGATTGAGGTCCAAATATTGAGATTCTTCTTCGATAAGGTGCAAGTATTGGTTAGCACTGGCAAAGCTTTTGGTCAGAATGAATGTGTCATCTGCGTACAGCAATTCGTGGAAATTAATTCCTTGGAAAGTTTTTGCGTAGCGTGGGTCCGTGGGTCGTTGAATCTGCGGTGAACATCATGAAATAGCACGTGCATTGTCACAATGAATAGGTATGGGCTGAGGGGACAGCCTTGCCTGATTCCAGTACGTTGGCTCAACCATGACGAAAATTTATCTCGGTGCATCACTTGAAACATCGGTTTCTGGTAAATAGCTTTTATGGCATCAAGGATTTCAACTGGAATACTCATTCTGTGGAGGGATTGGAACATTTTTTCATGACTAATTTTATCAAAAGCTTTTTCCCAGTCTAGGAAGATCAGAATGAATTTATCGTGACCTTGTTCTACGACGTCCGTGAGTCTTCTTAGGCAAAATAGTGGGTCAATAGTGGATCTGGATGATCTGAAACCAAACTGTAGCAAAATCCCATGCAAAATCCCATGCAAAATCCCATGCAAACGCCCACATGTACTGTAGCAAATCCCATGCAAAATGTAAGGTGAACATGCCAAAATGTGGCAAATACCATACAAAATGGAAGGTGAACACGCCCACATGTAGGAAATCCCATGCAAAATGGAAGGTGAACATGCCCAAATGTGGCAAATACCATGCACAATGACAAATTCAAGTTCCAAACCATTGCAAACACTAGGCAAATGGTACCAGCCAAGAAATCCAAAAACTAGACGACTAGAGGAGCAGGGTCTTCTCTTGTTAGTATGGAGACACCATATTACAAAACAATATATTAAAGATGTGTGACAATATAGCACAAGTACAAGACAATAGTTTGCATTGCAAATACTTTTACACACAGAAGCTTTTACACGGAGCAAGCTTTTAAATTTTACACAGAGAACCCCTTACACAGAGAAGCTTTTACACACAGAAGCTTTTACACACAGATACTTTTACACACAGACGCTTTTACACACAAGGCACTTTTACACACAGACACTTTTACGCACAGGCGCTTTTACATACAGACAGTTTTACACACAGACGCTTTTACACACTGTTGCTTTTTACACAGACGCTTTTACACATAAAGCTTTTACCCACAGAAGCTTTTACAGACATAAGCTTTTACACACGGACGCTTTTACACAGACGCTTTTACACACAGACACTTTTACACACAGACGCTTTTACACAGAAGCTTTTACACCCAGACCCTTTTACACACAGGAGCTTTTACACACAGAAGCGTTTACACGCAGACGCTTTTAGACACAGAAGCTTTTACACACAGAAGCTTTTACACACAGAAGATTTTACACACAGAAGCTTTTACACATAGACGCTTTTACACACAGACACTTTTACACAGAGACGCTTTTACACACAGACATTTTTACACACAGCACTTTTACACACAGACGCTTTTACACGCAGACGCTTTTACACACAGAAGCTTTTACGCACAGAAGCTTTTACTTTTACACACAGACCCTTTTACACAAAGAAGCTTTTACACACAGACGCTTTTATGCAAAGAAGCTTTTACAACCTTTTACACACAGACGCTTTCACACACAAACGCCTTTACACACAAACACTTTTACACACAGACACTTTTGCACACAAAAGCTTTTACACACAGACGCTTTTACACACTAACACTTTTACACACAGACGCTTTTACACACAGACACTTTTGCACACAAAAGCTTTTACACACAGACGCTTTTACACACTAACACTTTTACACACAGACGCTTTTACACACAGACACTTTTACACACAGACGCTTTTACACACACGTTTTTACACACAGACGCTTTTACACACAGACGCTTTTACACACAAACACTTTGACACACAGAAACTTTTGCACACAAAAGCTTTTACACACAGACGCTTTTACACACAAACACTTTTAAACACAGACGCTTTTACACACAGACGCTTTTACACACACAGACGCGTTTACAATCGTTTACACACAGACGCTTTTACACACAGGAAATCGCAATTTGCTTCAGTTTTGGGCGATTCAACCTCATCTCATGCGAAAGGGTTGCGATTGGACAAGAGAAACTACAATTTCACGTCAGTTTTTGGCGATCGAACCTCGTTTCGTGCGAAAGGGTTGCGACGGGACCCCTTGGAATCGCAATTTTACTTCAGTTTTTGGCGATCGAACCTCATTTCGTGCGAAAGGGTTGCGCCGGGACCCCTTGGAATCGCAATTTTACTTCAGTTTTTGGCGATCGAACCTCATTTCGTGCGAAAGGGTTGCGACGGGACCCCTTGGAATCGCAATTTTACTTCAGTTTTTGGCGATCGAACCTCATTTCGTGCGAAAGGGTTGCGACGGGACCCCTTGGAATCGCAATTTTACTTCAGTTTTTGGCGATCGAACCTCATTTCGTGCGAAAGGGTTGCGACGGGACCCCTTGGAATCGTAATTTTACTTCAGTTTTTGGCGATCGAACCTCATTTCGTGCGAAAGGGTTGCGACGGGACCCCTTGGAATCGCAATTTTACTTCAGTTTTTGGCGATCGAACCTCATTTCGTGCGAAAGGGTTGCGACGGGACCCCTTGGAATCGTAATTTTACTTCAGTTTTTGGCGATCGACCTCATTTCGTGCCGAAGTGGTTGCGACGGGAACCAGTACTCAACCTTTGGAACATCGCATTTTCTTCTCTTCTTTGGCGGCCGAACCTTCATTTCGTTCGAAAGTAGGTTGCGACGGGACCCCTTGGAATCGCAATTTTACTTCAGTTTTTGGCGATCGAACCTCATTTCGTGCGAAAGGGTTGCGCCGGGACCCCTTGGAATCACAATTTTACTTCAGTTTTTGGCGATCGAACCTCATTTCGTGCGAAAGGATGCGAAAGGGTTGCGACGGGACCCCTTGGAATCGCAATTTTACTTCAGTTTTTGGCGATCGAACCTCATTTCGTGCGAAAGGGTTGCGACGGGACCCCTTGGAATCGTAATTTTACTTTAGTTTTTGGCGATCGAACCTCATTTCGTGCGAAAGGGTTGCGACGGGACCCCTTGGAATCGCAATTTTATTTCAGTTTTTGGCGATACGGTTTCCTGAGCCAATTTGAGCCAAGGGCAATGCGCATATCATCCTTGGCAGGGAAATGGCCATGCTGCGAAAAATTGGATTCCTATGCAGGG